CAGAATGGGTTGTGATCCTGGCAAACACCTTGCTAGAGACACTTTTCTGTACAACTTTGGGGTTTGACTATTTTACTGTATGATCATATAGACGTGCGATCGTAAATTTGTATTACCTTTACGATGCACTAAATATGACACATTTTGTTCTATAGCAGCTAGTTTGCATGCATTTTCACTCACTGTTTCAGCTCAAGCCATAGAGAAAGTTTTTGTGTTGCCAGATAAATCAAGTTATTTTTTACCTCTCCTGGCATCAGCATTTTTCGTTTTTGACAACCACAAAATGTATACTATATACATTAATACATGCATTAGATACACATTCTATATATATGTTTATAAATATCATTTCAATGTTAGTCTTTGATATTGTCATTTATTTACACTACATGGTTCCTTCACATTATGTGGAGTCAATTGCAATAACAATACAATTACTTACATAACTTTTATAGTAGTGTTTATTTTATATACGTGACGCACATTAGGGAAATGTCAACTGAAATTTAGATTTTTTTTTTTTTAGCATTCAAAATATGAAGGGATGTGAGTTAACTCACGAATGGTAGGACATCATTTCCGGGTAAGCGAGAGGAAATGAATAGCCATCGCCTTGTTTTACAGTCACGGCGTACAATGTCAGAGCACATTGAAGCATGTAATATGGAAATGGGTGATCCAAGAACTTACCTAATACCGAACGATCTCTTCCAGAAATCAGAAGCGTCGTTTTTTGTGATTCTAAAGTTGTCCCCATTGTAAAGTCCATTTGGAAATATCGCCTTGAGTTCAGAAAGCATGTGACTGAAAATCAGAGACAACTTCGTCAAACTACGTCGATATTGGGAAGACTCCTCGAACATTTTCTCTTTCCCGTCTTTGAACAGTTTAGTAGCCTGCTTTGTTTTACGGATAAGATTATCCAGGAAAATGCGAAAATATTCGCAGTCATTTAAAAACTGCGGTCGATCCTCATATTTTGACCAGATCAATTTGAGGTGTTGGTAAGTGTCAGGCAAGATATCGAGAATATACGGCGGGCTGTTCTTTAAATGCATCCTAGGGTGTTGACACGACTTTACCACTTTATCCATTAGTTTCCAAGCTTTCTCCAGACTCTTTTTGTCCGCTGTAGCCCTCGGTGGAGCTACGATACGGGAAAAGAACCCCGAATGGCCGCGGTCTTTACTCCTGTTCACCGCCATCTTGGATTTTAATGCTTCCTTGTTTTTTTACCTCAGTCATGGTGGGCGTGGTAGGCCATATTACCCACAATGCTCTATACTTTTACTAACGAATCAGGTAAAAAGTTTTGTGTTTTCCGTGACGATGTCGTTTAGTTTCCGGTTATTTGTTCCCCACTGTGCTTATGGCTTCACATAGCCATCAATCAAATAAAAATGTCGCTGAATTGACCAATATATCATCTGATAACTAGAGGAAGTCCAAAGTATAAATGTCATCTTATTTTTAAAGGATACTTCCTCTTCGCCATTTCACGCCTGAATTTTAAAGGGCGGCAGTCGTCGCGCCGCGCTCTGTTCCGTCGATATGGGACTCATAGCGACGTATACAACTCGTGTAAAATACATTGTTTATTTACATAAAATTCGAAGACGCGCTGCGCGACGACATGCATCATAGACGTTTGTCTACGCAGGCCCTCAATTTATTTTGTTTTTCGAATTCAACAAGCCTAAACACCACAGTGCGTAGACATGATTATGTTGCTGCACGTAATTTATTGCGTTCGTATCCCTATTAGGATTTTGACTAAAATGCAATACAGATGTGAATAAAGACAAACAAACAATTAAAGTGAGAATAAAAATACACGCAGGAAAATAAAAAATGACAAGCAAATAAAAGTAGGGGAAACAAAATGAAAATTGGATTGTTTTCCAAATTTGTGTTGGTGAATATTTGGTTTACTAATGCATGTACATGACCTTATCTTGAGATAACTGACTATATTGTTTTCAGTTTTTCCTCTCTTGTTTTGAAACAGTTCTCTATGTATTTTGCTATTTGTATTATTATTTTCTCATCTTAATTATTTAAAATATATTTTAGTTTTTCTTTATTTTTTCTCGTATGTTATGTTATAAAGTCAATGTCAAAGACGGATTACTGTGGACGCGTGAATGAAAGGAACACCAGCAAACTTGCTAACCAATCACCTGTGTTGATGTCTGGAGATCATTATCAATTTAAAAAACTTAGGGCCACCTCATTCTCAAAAGAAGGCAATAATATTTACTAAGAGGGGCGCCCTCTCAAGTCGTTACTTTATGCTCAATTTTCGTATTTTTTTCTCGTTTTAATTTAAATGTAATAAATTATAAAGTACAATTACAACAACTATTTTTTGTAAACAGTATTGTTTTGATAAAATTTGACCATGTTCGAGAGCAGATACTAGTAGTCTCTTCCAGTATAGGCTGATAACATTTCCACAAAACGTATCTTGGCCTCCTATGGGATGCACCTAATTTGATAATATCTCCAGACAGTAATAATAATAATAATAATAATAATAATAATAATAATAATAATAATAATAGCATAGGTGATTCATTGAAAATGAAATTATGACAATAGTGGAAATATGTAACAGGAAAAATAAACTTCGAGTAACCATTTACTGAGGATTGAAACAGAACAGCATACTCAGTTACGGTACCAGCAAATGAAAGAGTACGTCTCTGTAACACAATTACAAATGAGATAGAAAATGAACAACATTTTGAGATGTCCTGCTATGCTCAACAAAGAAACATTCTATTAATAGAAGCAGAGAAAATATCTATAAATATCAATCATTAAAACAAGATTAAAAGAAAAATAAACCATGACGACAAATTCAGATTTATCATGAGCAATAAATCCCCGTCAATTTCTTTAAGTCAATGTTTGAAAATCTGTTTTGAATCTTGACAGCAACACCTCCTAGATGTTGGTGGTATGAATTTTTGTTCTTTTCGTTTATGTGTTTTTATGTGTCTACTTGTTTGTGCACTGTATTTCATTGTTTAATTCCAATTCATGTTAATTGATTAAACAAGCCATGCATGGAACAGTCCCTGTTAGTTATCGAATTTAAGATATACAGTTTTGTTTATAGTAATATAGCTGGAATATAACCATGTCAGGAATATGATTGTGATGATTGTTTAACATTAAAATGATTGAAATTTGTATCTGATCGTCAAACGAGTACTTGTCCATATTGAGAGATATTGCTCTGGAACAGCATTAATTAAAACAAAATCAGCCATTTTGAATCATGTATGTATCTATAACATTATGTATAATGAATATGTAAAATTTTAACATGATCAGTCAAAGCAAGTCAGAGATATGGCACTAGAACCACATTCATTAAAACAAAATGGCCGCCAGTCAGCTATTTTTAATCTTATCTGACAAAAAAAATTATTTGCATCAAGATACAATAATGTGCAATGTACATACTAAGTTTGAACAAAATCCATCTGTAAACAGCCGAGAAATGCTTGATTTTGATGATTATTCAATACAAAAATGGCCGCCATTCGGCCATCTTGAATCAGATCGTGAAACAAATTGATGTGCATATGTATAATATTATGTATGATGTATGTGTGAAGTTTGATTGTGATTGGTCTAGGCATTTTTAAGATACAGGCCCAGACACACACACAGACGCACTGAGGTCAAAACACAAGTCCCCATTTTCGGACTGCGTCCGAACGGGGACTAATAATAAATAAAACGAATAAATATAACAAATAAGCTGAAAACAGCTGAAATAAAGAAAACCGCACAAACTCAACTTTGAGTTTTCGGCTTTTGTTTTCACTGGTGATGATG